ACCTCATATACAAATATAAAAACATACAAAGGCTGATGAAATAGACCTAACGCGTTTCGGCCTTCACAGGCCTTCCTCAGAGGTCTAATGCAAACAGAACATGTTGGCAGATATGTAAAAATATATACAATCATACATATACAGAATATGGAATAGAGACCAGAAAACAATTGTTCCAAAGTTTAACCACTGGGCAAAGAAGAGAAATACAAAAATACAAATGAAGCCTCCAGTGCAATCACATCTCCAGTAGTACTTCTCTCTGGTCAACCTCTATATTCTCCTGAGATTGTACAGCCAAATGTTCCCAATAAAATGTTCCTTAAATTAAAAGCAGTGTTGATCAAAAAGGTGTTGGGCCTATACGTATCAGCCAACATGTTCTGTTTGCATTAGACCTCTGAAAGGCCTGTAAAGGCCGAAACGCGTTAGGTCTATTTCATTAGCCTTTGTATGTTTTTTATATTTGTATATGAGGTATGAATGGGCCCTTATTTGTTATTTTTAATTTGTGTTGAATAAATACATGTACATTTTTGTATGTTTCAGAATTAGATTTTTAGAGTTGGCCCTCTTCTATTCTTGAATTCTAGGTTTTAGGTTCAGTTTTTTCCCCTCTTCTCTTTTTTATCCCTATCAACACAGGCCGTCCATCCCCTGCGGCCCTGCCTTCCTGTCTCTTCATGACTCTCTATGCACTAGAGCAAGCGTCCCCCAACGCAGGGCCCATGGGCACCCTAGCACCTGCTGACATTTTCCTTGGCACACACAAACTGTTTTTAGAAAGTGAGTGAGGCTAAATGGGCCTCTTTTTTTTTGTCCAGCAAGGCTTCTGATTGGCTATTGCAGATCTTTAAAAATGTTGCTTCTGCAGCCGTTTCCCCCACGGCACGAGGATAGTCACTGCGTGACGAAAGGTGAGCTGTGTGCATTAAAGATAATATTCTAAACAGTATGCTAGTTTAAAAAGGTATCCCTGTTAGAGATCTTCTGCCAGAAATGCTGAATAGTTACTATTGCAGCTATGGGATCCCAGATCATCTCAGACTGTGACAGCAGCCATGGAATTAAAAGACGCCTGCTCCTTGGGAGGAAAGCGATGGCGAACCTCAACAGCATGATAAAAAGTAGAGACATCACCCTGCCAACAAAAGTCCGCATGGTCAAAGCAATGGTATTCCCAGTAGTCATGTATGGCTGCGAGAGTTGGACTATAAGGAAGGCCGAGCGCCGAAGAATGGATTCTTTTGAACTATGGTGCTGGAGAAGACTCTTGAGAGTCCCTTGGACTGCAAGAAAATCAAATCAGTCCATCCTAAAAGAAACCAACCCTGGCTGTTCCCTGGAAGGCCAGATAATGAAACTGAAGCTCAAATACTTTGGCCACCAAATGAGAAGGGAGCACTCACTGGAGAAGAAGACCCTGATGCTGGGAAAGATTGAAGGTCAAAGAAGACGGGGACGGCAAAGGATGAGATGGCTAGACAGTGTCATAGATGCAACGAACATGAAATTGACCAAACTTCAGAGGATAGCGGAAGACAGGAGGGCCTGGTGGGAGCTGGTCCATGGGGTCACGAAGAGTCGGACTCGACTGTGCGACTGAACAACAACCTCTCTGACATTTGTGGTTGGCTCTGCCTCCGGTGGCAGCCATTATGTCACTGGCTCCGCCTCCTGCAGCAGCCATTTTGAGGTTGCACCCACCGACGTGTCAGAATGCTAGAGAAGCCCACAGGGTCAAAAAGGTTGGAGAGGGGCCATGGCTCAGTGGCAGAGCCTCTGCTTGGCATGCAGAAGGGTCCCAGGTTCAATCCCCGGCATCTCCAGTTAAAAGGACCAGGCAGCAGGTGATGGGAAAGACCTCCACCTGAGACCCTGGAGAGCCATGGCCAGTCTGAGTAGACAATACTGACCTCGATGGACCACTAGTCTTTTCCAGTATAAGGCAGCTTCATGCGTGTTCACTAGAGCTAAATCCCATGATTATTTTATCTGTTACACTCTAATTACTCCTGGCACATCAAAGCTTTTCTAAGGGTCATCTTCTCCTGCCCCAAACTATAAACCCTGGAGAATTTACAACTTTAACGAAACACTCAGTGGACCCTTTCAGAAGTGTAAACAGGTGGAGATGGGAACTACGTAGCCTAACATAGGTGGCAGTCTTATGCATACTTATGTAGGAATAAGCCTCACTGAATAAAATGGGACTTAGTACAGGTGAAGGTTTCCCCTTGCTCGAAAGCCAGTCGAATCCGACTGTAGGGATGCGGTGCTCATCTCCGTTTCCAAGCCGAAGAGCCGGCAGTGTCCAAAGATGTTTCCATGGTCATGTGGCCGGCATGACTAGACGCCGAGGCACACGGAACGCTGTTCCCTTCCCACCTTATCTACTTGCAATTTCTTGCTTTCGAACTGCTGGGTTGGCAGGAGCTGGGGCCGGAGACGGGAGCTCAATTTATTTATTTATTTATTTACTTATTTATTAAATTTATACCCCACCCTCCCCCGTAGGGTCTCGAACTCCTGAACGACCGACCTTTCAGTCTGCAGCTCAGCGTCTTGACCACTTGAGCCACCGCAGGCCTTAAAGTGGGACTTGCGCCTGAGTAAACCAGCACAGCTTTGTCCTGAGAGACACTGTCCTGGAAACCGGCCAATGCCAGGTTCACGTTTCATTTATTCTTTGGACTCTCGGAGTGTTTTTAAGCAAGTTAGCGTCTCTCGGTCCCAATCCATCTGCACCCACAGTTCACTTCGGCAACCCTGATGTGGAGAGTCATTTCTTTCCATACCACCTGAACTCACGTGCTCTGACTGGCATATTGCAGGTATCTCCTGTAGCCCCAACCGAAGCCCCCTTTTATGAAAGACTGCAGTGCTCCGGCCCGTATGCAGCCCAGGAAGCAAAGAATAAGGGCCCAACCTCCCCAAGGCAGGGCAGAGTGTAATACTTTATTACAAAACAGATGCCTCACCCTTTCTCGAGTTCAAGGCAGAGTCTGGCGACAAACTTTAAAAGCACAGTAAACGATCAGAAATAAATTACAGCAATATATTTACCGGTCTAGTAACTTATGGCTGCGAGAGTTGGACCATAAGGAAGGCCGAGCGCCAAAGAATAGATTATTTTGAACTATGGTGCTGGAGAAGACTCTTGAGAGTCCCTTGGACTGCAAGAAGATCAAATCAGTCAATCCTAAAAGAAATCAACCCTGACTGTTCCCTGGAAGGCCAGATAATGAAACTGAAGCTCAAATTCTTTGGCCACCAAATGAGAAGGGAGCACTCACTGGAAAAGACCCTGATGCTGGGAAAGACTGAAGGTCAAGGAAGACCGGGACGGCAAAGGATGAGATGGTTAGACAGTGTCATAGATGCAACAAACATGAAGTTGAGCAAACTTCAGAGGACAGCGGAAGACCGGAAGGCCTGGCGTGATCTGGTCCATGGGGTCGTAAAGAGTCGGACTCGACTGTGCGACTGAACAACAACATTTACCGGTCAGATTCCGGCTTCCTTAGTCAACAAAGAAGCCCTGTGAAATAAGACTGTTTTACAGTCAACAAACAAGAAGATGCCCATGAAGCATTACGCAGGGCTGCTCCTGCACTAACTGCTGGGCTATGGGATGTCCTGCATGACTGGCCGGTGCTGGTATCTCTTCTCCTTAGCAGCCGGGCTCAGAGCAATATAACTCAAAGAGCTCTAACATTACTCAAACATCACTGCGGATGATGCCGGTGCTTGCCACTGGAGCCAAAAAGAGCCCTTCCAGACCCCTCTCTGAGAACATCATCATCTCCAAATGTGGAAGGACTAGAACTTACTCTGGGGGCAAACATGATGCAAGGCAGTTCTTTATTTTCAAATCATACAGTCAGGCGAAATAGCACATGATTGCTTACGATTCCAAATCTAATTCCAACACCAGGGACGGCAATGATTTCCTAAGGATCTCGGCAGTCGCTTCCTTCTGTCTGACCCCGGGGAGGTCGCTCAGGCACAAATACTGCAGATTACTGGACGGAATTAGAGGAGAAGATCAGAACAATCATACAACTTTTGTGTCCTGCCTTCCCACCCCTGCAAGGGCCACCGGGGCAGATGACAATTTAAAACGTGCACGGTAAAATCACATGTTGAAACCACGGAAGCCTGCCTCCTCAATGTTACTAAAACAATTAGAAGCAGAGTTCAAAAACATTGGTTAAGACGGAGAGATCCCTGAGGGCGTGCCAAACAAAACAAAGAAAGTCTTCACCCACGGGCAGAAGATGGCAGCAGAGGGGTACAGACAGATCGGGGGAATCATTCCAGTGCTTTGGTGCCATCACCGAGAAGGCCGTCTCCCGGGTGGCCAGCTTCCTAATCTCAGAAGTCAGGGTACTTGAAGCAGGGTCAGGCGGGTTCATGAGGGAAGAGAAGAAGAGATTGGATGTCTACCCCACCCTTCACTGCCAGAAGGAGCCTCAGAGCGGCTCACCATCTCCTTTCCCTCCCCCTCCCCACAACAGGCACCCTGGGAGGTAGGAGGGGCTGAGAGAGCTTCTTCAAGGACTGCCCTTGAGAGAACAACTCTGAGAGAACTTGTGACTGACCCACGGTCACACCAGCCGCTGCATGTGGAGGCGGAGTAGGGAATCAAACCCGGCTCTCCCAGATTAGAGTCCGCGCTCCTAACCACTACGCCAAACTGGCTCTTACAGTCTCCTTTCCCTTCCCCACATACAGACACCCTGGGAGGTAGGGGGGACTGAGAGAGCGCTCTCGAGGACTGCTCTTGAGAGAACAGCTCTGAGAGAACTTGTGACTGACCCACGGTCACACCAGCAGCTGCATGTGGAGGAGCAGGGCCTCAAACCCGGTTCTCCCACATTAGAGTCCATGCTCTTAACCGCTACACCAGACTGGAGGAGGAGGTCCTTCAAGTATGTGAGCCGGTTTGGTGTGTCGTGATGAAGTGCGCGGACTCTAATCTGGGAGAACCGGGTTTGATTCCCCACTCCTCCACGTGCACCTGGCTGGATGACCTTGGGCAAGCCATAGTTCTGATAAGAGCTGTCCTTGAAAAAGAGCCATTTCTGTCAGAGCTCTCTCAGCTCCGCCTACCTCACAGGGTGTCTGTTGTGGGGAGGGGAAGGGAAAGGAGTTTGTAAGCTGCTCTGAGACTCCTCTGGGTAGTGAAGGGCGGGGTATAAATCCAATCTCCTCCTCCTTTTCTTCTATGTTGGTCCTGAACCATAGAGGGCTTTTTGAAGGTCAAGAGCAGCACCTTGAATTGTGCCCAGAAACAAACTGGCAGCCAGTGTAGATGGGAATGATTATGTTCCCTACGACCCACTCCAGTCAACATCCTGGCTGCTGTGTATTTCCACACCACACAAATATTTCGCAAAAGAATACATGTATGTGTTCTTTAGGTTCCCACACACTTGTCTAGAGATCGTGGCCCAACTGCAGTGCCCAGAGGTTTAAAGATGACTTTACACGTGTATGTCACAAGGACATCGGAACAGCCCTGCTGAGTCAGACCAGTGGTCCGTTCTAGTCCAGCATCCTGTCTCACACAGTAGTCAACAACAGGACATAGAGGCCGTGGCCTTTCCCTAAAGCTGCCTACAGGCACTGGGATCCAGAGGTGGGCTGCCTCTGTATATGGACAGAACAAAGTCTGCATCCAGTGGCACCTCTTAAGACCAACAAAGTTTAATTCTGGTAAGCATGCACACAAAAGCTTATATCCAGAATTAAACTTTTTGGTCTTAAAGGAGTCCCTGGACGCAGACTTTGTTCTGTTGCTTCACGCCAACACGGCTACCCCACCTGAATCTGTATATCCCTTTAAGTCACCAGGGCTAGTAGCCACTATTAGGTCTATCCAGTGGTCCCTCTAAGCTGAGTTAGTGTGAGCTAGCTCACAGCTTTTTAGCCTCCGGCTCACCCATTTTTGTCTTTGTTCAGGAAGGAGGGCTCCAGAGCAAACTAATTTATGCAGTAGCCAAACTGCTCGCTCACAACTTTAATGTCAGGAGCTCACATGGTAGACTTTTTGCTCACAAGACTCCACAGCTTAGAGGGAGCATTCCTCTGTGAATCTGTCTAATCCCCTTTTAAAGCCGAATAGGTCATCCATATTTGGTGCTGGTGGCAGGAAACACTGGTGTCATGATGCACGTGGATTTGATCTGCATACCTGAGCTTATGCAGAGCGACGATGCCTTGGTCTGTGACGTCCCCACAGGAAATGATCCAGAGACGCAGGAGGCTCCTCTGTAAGTTCTGGATCTCGCTGAGCCGCTGCAAGCACTCGTCCTGCAGGTACGCGCACTTGCAAAGCTTGATCTCCTCCACGTGCTCTAGGCCATCTGCAACGGAGGTAAAACATCTGCTTTTAAGGGGGCTTCACACACAAGCTTGCCCGGAAAGCTACGGTTGTGGCTCATACACTGAATTACAGGAAGGATTCCACCACAAATAGAAGAAGAAGAGGAAGACAAGGAAGACGAAGATGACAAAGACGAAGAAGACGAAGAAGAAGGAGAAGAAGGAGGAGGAGGAGGAGATTGGATTTCTACCCCGCCCTTCACTCAGAGTCTCAGAGCAGCTTACAATCCTTCCCTTTCTGCTCCCCACAACAGACACCCTGTGAGGTAGGTGGGGCTGAGAGAGCTCTTTTGATAACTGCTCTTTCAAGAACAGCTCTGCCGGAACTATGTCTTGCCCAAGGTCATCCAGCCAGGTGCAAGTGGAGGAGTGGGGAATCAAACCCGGTGCTCCCAGATTAGCGTCCGCGCACTTAACCACTACACCAAACTGAGAGATCTGCCAAGAGATGTCTGCCTGGGAAAGGCAGACCTACAGGGGAAGCTTGATATGGCATTCATTAGGGCTGGGGTCTCCAACACGGTGCCCGTGGGCATTTTCAGAAAGTGGGTGGGTCCAGTTGGGGTTCTGGCCCGGCGCAGCTCCTGACAGGCCGCTAGAGATCCAATTGGCTGTGCAGATCAAAGTAAGAGAGACTGGGAAAACCAGATTTGATTCCCCACTCCTCCACATGCAGCTGCTGGTCAGTCACAAGTTCTCCCGGAGCTGTCCTCTCAAGGGCAGTCCTCGAAAGAGCTCTCTCAGCCCCACCTACCTCACAGGGTGTCTGTTGTGGGGAGGGAAAGGGAAAGGAGTTTGTAAGCTGCTCTGACACTCCGAGTGAAGGGCAGGGTGTAAATACAATCTCTTCTTCTTCATAATGTTGCTGTTTCTCACTCCTCTTTCCCATTGTACTGTTTAAATTACTCCCCTTGTTCCCTGCATTTGGGCTTCCTCTGTGTGTGTGTGTGTGTGTGCGCGCACACTCCATGAAATTGCTGAGCAGTCGGGTTAGAACAGATAAAAGGAAGTCCTTCTTCACCCAAAGAGTGATTAACACATGGCATTCACGGCCACAGGAGGTGGTGGCAGCTACAAGCATGGACGACTTCAAGAGGGAATTGGATAAGCATATGGAGCAGAGGTCCATCAATGGCTATGAGCCACAAGGTACAGATAGGAACTCTTGGTCAGGGGCAAGGGATGCTCTGTATTCTTGGTGCTTGGGGGGGGGGGGCAACAGTTGGGGTTACCTCCTGAGGGCACCTGGTATTTTTGGCCACTGTGTGACCCAGAGTGTTGGACTGGATGGGCCATTGGCCTGATTCAACACTGGCTTCTCTTATGTTCTTATGTTGAGAGCAGAGGTCCATCAGTGGCTATTAGCCACAAGATATAGATAGGAACTCTCAGGCTGGGGCAAGGGATGCTCTGTATTCTTGGGGCTTGGGGGGGCAACAGTGGGAGGGGGCTCCTAGTGTCCTGGCCCCACTGCTGGGCCTCCTGATGGCACCTGGTATTTTTGGCCACTGTATGACCCAGAGTGTTGGACTGGATGGGCCATTGGCCTGATCCAACATTGGCCTCTCTTATGTTCTTATGTTCATAAGTGTGTGCGTGTGTATGGCTCCACCCCTGCAGCAGCCATTTTATGGGTGTGCGCACCGTGTCAGAATTCCAAGGGTGCCGATAGGCTCAAAAAGCTTGGGGACACCTGCAGTAAGAAGAGAGTCCCACGCAAGCAGCTAAGCAATTTTTTAATTGTTTGGCCTCAGGCAGAATTCCGTCACGTGATACAGACGTGACCCTTTGGTCCTGCAAAATGACCTTCTCAGCACCGCTTGACAGCGGATAGCGCTTGCTTGGAGGCTTCAGAGGGTTTGTACTCGGAGTCCCTGAAATCAAGTTGTGATACTTGTGCAAAGGCTGAAGGACAGGGTTTTGGCAATGCATATTTCATCAGAATGGGGGGGACGGACGTTTTTGCAGCTGGTCAGAACAAGTTAAAAATTGTCTTTAATGTCCCCTGCTGCTGAGCATTCCAGCTTTGAACATGTTTTATATTAAACCGTTTGGCCACAGGGCAACATCAGGGGAAGGCCTCTGTGCCCTGTAGTTGGCCCTCCAGAGGAACCGGCTGGCTACTGCATCAGACAGGATGCTGGACTAATTTTTTTTATTTTTTATTTTATTTTTATTTAACCTTCGACTTCTATCCCGCTCACCCCCTAGGGGCTCTGAGCGGCTTACAATTCCAATTAGCCAATCTAATCTAGGGCCACATATGAAGGGGAGGTGAGAAGCCTACCAGGCACCCTTATCCTGTTGTAGCAGATCTTCTTATTGCGAGGGGGCAGTCCGGCGGCGACCCTCCTCCGGCGCAGGTCTTCGCTGTTCCACTTTTTCCGGCTGTCGTAACTCCGCCTCCAGGCCTGGACCACTCCGTGCTTCCGCACATGCTCGCAGCGGCCTCCGTCCAAATCAGGCTCCGGCCTGCCGCGTCGCTCCGCCTCCGCACCTTGTTGGTCCGGCCTCCTTCGTCCGCCTCCTCGCCTCGCCAGCCGCCATTTTTTCTCTGCCGCCGCCGCCGTTCATCACTCTCCATTATCCGTTCTCCGCCATCGCTGCTACACCAGGGATGGGTGCCCCCCCCCGCTCTAATAGCAGGTCCCCATTTTATCTACTTGCCCTTTAACGGGCTTTCGAACCACTGGGTGGACGGGAGCTGGGACGTAGGGCCAGGAGCTCACCCTGACCGTGGTGGGATTCGAACCGCCGAAGCTGTTCGCCCAGAAGTTAAGCAGGCTTCCCTTACTGCCTGCAAACAATAATAATAATAATAATAATAATAATAATAATAATAATAATAATAGTAGTAGTAGTAGTAGTAATAATAATAGTAGTAGTAGTAGTAGTAATAATAATAATAATAATATAATTATCTTATGGCAGTGTGTGTGCAGTATAGCCAGGAGATCCTAAGATTGCCTAGCAGCCAGCAGTTCTAGCGCTTTTAGCGTCATGCACCACTAGGTGGCGGCCTAGACTTGTTTTCAAGGCAAGAGACATTTCAGAGGTGGTTTGCCATGGCCTGCTTCTGCGTCATGCCCCTGGTATTCGTCCGAGGTCGCCCATCCAAACACTAGCCAGGGCTGACCTGGACCACTGGTCTCATCCAGTAGGATTCTTCTAATGTTCTTATTTGATCCTCACAACAGCCCTGCGAGTTAACTGAGGCTGGCAGTTAGATCTGGGTCCACTAGCACCTCAGAGACCAACCAGAGTTTCAGGCCGTAAGCTTTTGAGAGCCAGAGCTCCCCTCGTCAGGCACACGGAAGAGTCTGAGCCTGACCGCAAGTGAAAGTTGCCCTGTGAGCTTCTCGACAGAGCTGGGATTTGAACCCGGGCCTCACAGATCACAGTCCATCACTCCAAGTGCTCCACTAGTGTCCAGAGCAGCCTTTCCCAACCTTTGTGAGAATGCGGGCGTGCTGGCTCTGGCCGGTCACCACGAATATACTAAGCTAGGTACAAAAGTCCAAACTGAGCCGAGAAACAGTGCCAGGGGTCGGAACCAGTGTTCCCTCTAAGCCGAGCTCACAGTTTTCTTAGTCTCCGGCTCACACATTTTTGCCTTAGCTCAGGAAGGGACAGCTCCAGAGCAAACTAATTTATGCAGCGGCCAAATCGCTCGCTCACAACTTTAATGCCAGCAGCTCAGAAAGTAGAATTTTTGCTCACAAGACTCCACAGCTTAGAGGGAGCTTTGGTCGGAATGCCAGGACAGGAGATCAATCAGAGTTCTCAGGAGCGATGAGCGGAGGCTGGCAGCCGGAACAAGGTTCAAGATTGCGTGGCTGTGTCCGCACCGAGGCAGGTGAGCGTGGCTGCTTATAAATGGACCCTCCCTTCCCTGGGAGGCGACCTGCAAAGACTCATAGCCCCTCACGTTGAGAGCCAGTTTGGGGTAGTGATTAAGTGCAGGACTCTAATATGGGAGAACCGGGCTTGATTCCCCACTCCTCCAGTTGCAGCTGCTGGATGACCTTGGGTCAGTCACAAGTTATTTCAGAGCTGTCCTCTCAAGGACAGTTCTGGAAAGAGCTCTCTCAGCCCCACCTACTTCACAGGGTGTCTGTTGTGGGGAGGGGGAAGGGAAAGGAGATTACAAGCCGCTCTGAGACTCTGAGTGAAGAGCGGGGTATGAACTCTGATAAAACCAGGGATGAGATCCAAGTGCAGAAAGAACAAGAGGAGCAGTGATGCTCTGTCTTCTTGGTCCTTGGGGGGGGGGAGGCAACAGTGGGAGGGCTTCTAGTGTCCTGGCCCCACTGGTGGACCTCCTGATGGCACCTGGTATTTTTGGCCACTGTGTGACACAGAGTGTTGGGCTGGATGGGCCTTTGGCCTGATCCAACACTGGCGTCTCTTATGTTCTTATGTCAGGGGCAAGGGATGCTCTGAGACTCCCTTCGGGTCGTGAAGGGCAGGGTATAAACCCAATCTCTTCTTCTTCGTGGGAATGAGAGACAGAACAGAACCAACACTTCAGTGACAGCCACCGAAGCCACTTTATTTTAATCCACACAGCCAATCAAATCTTCAGTGGTGTCAAATAGTGGGTTCCATGGATGAACAGACCACAAGCCTAGTGATCACGTCTACTTTATTAGTGATTTCAAACTACAAGACTAGACCTGAGAGCCTCGGCTCTGTTAAATAGCATGCCATTGCCATACCCAGACACACCCTACTCCCAGTGACAGGCTATTCACATAACATTACTCCTAGATTGGTTACTTTCAGAATCCGCCCTGAGCCCATGTTGGAAGGGCAGGACACAAATTTAATAAATAAATAAATAAAAATAAATAAATATAATCCTGGTGGGCTATTGTTCTTGTGCTCCAAGCTCAGCCGGCCTCTGGGGTGATTCAATCGGGAACGATTCAGTCCCAGTACATAACAAGTGGCCTATCAGAAGCAACGCTGATCAAAAGCCCCAACTGGCCCCACCCACTTTCTGAAAACACTCGGCAGGCACCAGGAAAGACGTCAGCAGGCATCCTGGGCACTATGTTGGGGGGGGGACCCGTGGTCTAGACTGTGCTCCACGTAAGCAAGGCTTTGTTTAGCCTCTTTTAGAGCTTACAGTGGACATGAGAGGGCAGGGATCAGCCGCTTGTTCCCTCTAAGCTGAGTTAGTGTGAGCTAGCTCAGAGTTTTTTAGCCTCCAGCTCACACATTTTTGTCTTAGCTCAGGAAAGATGGCTCCAGAGCAAACTAATTTATGCAGCAGCCAAATCACTCGCTCACAACTTTAATGCCAGTAGCTTCACAAAGTAGAATTTTTGCTCACAAGACTCCACAGCTTAGAGGGAACATTGCATACCTATTTAAAGACCAAAGTCAAGATTCCACTACTTACCCAGGTGATCGAATCCCCTGTACATGATGCAAGATTCCGTGGCGTCGATGGCTTGTATCTTGTATTTCCCTAACGGCCCCGAAGGGAGCCCGTTGTAATCCTGCTGCCATTTATCGAGGCCCTGGTAGCGCACGTGGGCCCCGCAGCGCAGGAGCCATTCCGAGGCTGCTCTGTCCGGGCCAACAGCCTGGATCCGCTCATGGTCGACCCTGTCAACAAGGAGGCCCAGCCAGTAAGTTCTCTTGAGGTGTACACAAGCATCTTCAAATCATACGAGCACTTTACTGAACCCAAACGTGAGTCTCTGGAGATCAGAGATACAAATACCTCTAATCTCTTTTTTTTTTTTCTGTAGCGTTTTCCGGTTTAACCTCCAAGAGCCCCAGAAGCAGGCAGGAACTCCTCCTTCATTTCATGTGCCCCCCCCCCCATGGTCATGTGTTTCAAGGGTTGTCGTTTTGGAAATCTGGGGTGCAGCCTGGGGAGGGCAGGATTTGGACAGGGGAGGGACCTCAGCAGGCTACAATGTCAAAGAGTCCACCCTCCAAAGCAGCCACTTCCTCCAGGGGAACTGATCTCTGTTAGCTGGAGATGAGCGGTAGTCAGTGTTTCAATCCAGCTTTACTGACAGCCAAAGAAAGCAGGAATTAGTCTTACAAAATGGTAAGGGAGCCCCAAAGAAGAATCTCTGGTGGAATGACAATTCTTGGGGTGGGGGTAGGGGAGGAAGCGTCATGACGGTTAACCAGGTGGAAACTAGTTCGAATTTGTAGCGCACGTGCCCATAAACATCCTTTGTGAAAATACTTCTGCTTATTCCTGGGCCTTACTTGTTAAAAACAGCATTCAGCCATCCCCAGAGGTGCCTGTAAGTATTGCAAGAGGGCAGCTTCTGAATCCTGCATGCCCGGCGTGTCAAGTGTTCAAACAGCATCATGCCGCTACTGAACCAGGTGCGGTTTACAGCTGTGGAGACTCAGGTATCTGCTTCGTCATCCCTGGTCCTGCATAAGGAATAATACAGATCATTCGTGGACAGGTTCTGGGATTAAAAAAACAAAACAAAAATACACATACCACCATGCCCATGACTATGTACGGGTGTGAAAGTTGGACAAGGAAGAAAGTGGATAGGAGGAAAGCTGATTCATTTGAAAACGGGTGTTGGAGGACAATTTTACAGATACCGCGGACTGCCAGAAAGCCAAATCAGTGGCTTCTAGATCATAAGAACATAAGAGACGCCAATGTTGGATCAGGCCAAAGGCCCATCCAGTCCAACACTCTGTGTCACACAGTGGCCAGAAATACCAGGGGCCATCAGGAGGTCCAGCAGTGGGGCCAGGACACTAGGAGCCCCTCCCACTGTTGCCCCCCCTCCAAGCACCAAGAATACAGAGCGTCCCTTGCCCCAGAACGAGAGTTCCTATCTGTACCTTGTAGCTAATAGCCACCGATGGACCTCTGCTCTCAACATAAGAACATAAGCGAAGCCAATGTTGGATCAGGCCAATGGCCCATCCAGTCCAACATTCTGTGTCACACAGTGGCCAAAAGATACCAGGTGCCATCAGGAGGTCCAGCAGTGGGGCCAAGACACTAGAAGCCCTCCCACTGTTGCCCCCCCCACTCCAAGCACCAAGAATACAGAGCATCACATGCCCCAGCCTGAGAGTTCCTATCTATACCTTGTGGCTAATAGCCACCGATGGACCTCTGCTCTTAACATAAGAACATAAGAGAAGACAATGTTGGATCAGGCCAATGGCCCATCCAGTCCAACGCTCTGTGTCACACAGTGGCCAAAAATACCAGGGGCCATCAGGAGGTCCAGCAGTGAGGCCAGGACACTAGAAGCCCCACCCACTGTTGCCCACCCCCCCAAGCACCAAGAATACAGACCTTCCCTTGCCCCAGACCGAGAGTTCCTATCTGTACATTGTGGCTCATAGCCACTGATAGACCTGCTCTTAACATAAGAACACAAGAGAAGCCAATGTTGGATCAGGCCAGTGGCCGCTCCAGTCCAACACTCTGGGTCACCCAGTGGCCAAAAACACCAGGGGCCCTCAGGAGGTCCAGCAGCGGGGCCAGGACACTGTGAGCAAAAATCCTACTTTGTGAGCCAAAATTCCACTTTGTGGTTCTACTGTCGTGAGCGAGCGATCAGGTGGTTGCCTCCCTTAGCTTGGCTCTCTGGAGCCACATCCTTCACAAAAATGTGTGTGAGCCGGAGGCAAAAAAACTGTGAGCTGGCTCACACGGACTCAGCTTCGAGGGGACGAGGGGACCAATGTTCCCTCTAAGCTGTGGAGTCATGTGAGCAAATATTCTTCTTTGTGAGCTACGGGCATTAAAGTTGTGAGCGAGCGATCTGGTTGCTACGTAAATTAGTCTGCTCTGGAGCCCTCCTTCCGGAGCTGAGACAAAAATGTGTGAGCCGGAGGCTAAAAAACTGTGAGCTAGCTCACACTCGCTCATCTTAGAGGGAACACTGCCCCCAGTGAATGCTCCCTGTAAGCCGTGGAGTCTTGTGAGCAAAAATTCTATATCGTGAGCTCCTGGCATGAAAGTTGTGAGCGAGCAATTTGGCTGCTGCATAAATTTGTGTGCTCTGGAGCCCCATCCCTTCCTGAGCTGAGACAAAAATGGTGTGAGCCGGAGGCTAAGGAACTGTGAGCTGGCTCACACTCGCTCATCTTAGAGGGAACACTGCCCCCAGCGAATACTCCCTCTAAGCGGTGGAGTCTTGTGAGCAAAAATTCTATATCGTGAGCTCCTGGCAATAAAGTTGTGAGCGAACAATTTGGCTGCTGCATAAATTTGTGCGCTCTGGAGCCATCCCTTCCTGAGCTGAGACAAAAAAGGTGTGAGCCGGAGGCTAAAGAACGGTGAGCTGGCTCACACTCGCTCATCTTAGAGGGAACACTGCCCCCAGCGAATGCTCCCTCTAAGCCGTGGAGTCTTGTGAGCAAAAATTCTATATTGTGAGCTCCTGGCATGAAAGTTGTGAGCCAGGGATTGGGCTGCTGCATAAATTTGTGTGCTCTGGAGCCCCATCCCTTCCTGAGCTGAGACAAAAAAGGTGTGAGCCGGAGGCTAAAAAACTGTGAGCTGGCTCACACTCGCTCATCTTAGAGGGAACACTGCCCCCAGCGAATGCTCCCTCTAAGCCGTGGAGTCTTGTGAGCAAAAATTCTATATCGTGAGCTCCTGGCAATAAAGTTGTGAGCGAACAATTTGGCTGCTGCATAAATTTGTGCGCTCTGGAGCCATCCCTTCCTGAGCTGAGACAAAAAAGGTGTGAGCCGGAGGCTAAAGAACGGTGAGCTGGCTCACACTCGCTCATCTTAGAGGGAACACTGCCCCCAGCGAATGCTCCCTCTAAGCCGTGGAGTCTTGTGAGCAAAAATTCTATATTGTGAGCTCCTGGCATGAAAGTTGTGAGCGAGCAATTTGGCTGCTGCATAAATTTGTGTGCTCTGGAGCCCCATCCCTTCCTGAGCTGAGACAAAAATGGTGTGAGCCGGAGGCTAAGGAACTGTGAGCTGGCTCACACTCGCTCATCTTAGAGGGAACACTGCCCCCAGCGAATGCTCCCTCTAAGCCGTGGAGTCTTGTGAGCAAAAATTCTATATTGTGAGCTCCTGGCATGAAAGTTGTGAGCGAGCAATTTGGCTGCTGCATAAATTTGTGTGCTCTGGAGCCCCATCCCTTCCTGAGCTGAGACAAAAATGCTCCGAGTCCGGCCCGTCCCTGGAGGCTCCGCCCGGGCCTGGGAGGAGGAGGAGGAGGAGGAGCCGCGCCGCCGGCCGAGCTCGACATGGGGCCGCTCTTGGCGCGGGGCGTCGGCGTCGGGGCCTGGCGCGGAGGAGAGGAGGCCCTCCTCAGGAGGCCCCTCAGCAGCGCGAGCCGGAGGTGAGGGGAGCCGCCGCGTCCCCCTCCGCGGAAGGCGGGAGGGAAGGCCTGGAGGCCGGCGGGCGCGGAGGCCTCCTCTAGGCCCGCCAGGCAGAAGTCCAACCGGGGCCTTCGAGAGGGGCCAGGATCCCCCAAGCCCTGTTACGGTAGCAGTCGTGGGGCATTGTGGGTACTGTAGCCAGGAGAGCCTAAGATTGTCTGGCAGCCAGAAGTTCTAGTTCGTTTAGCCTTGTGCACCACTAGGCGGCGACTTAGACTTGTTTTTAAGGCAAGGCCCTTTTGTTTGAATGAGGGGAACGACAAGAGGTGTCTGACAAGAGAGCCAGTTTGGTGTCGTGGTTAAGTGCGCGGACCCTAATCTGGGAGAACCGGGTTTGATTCCCCACTCCTCCACTTGCGCCTGGCTGGATGACCTTGGGTCAGTCACAAGCTCTGGCACAGCTGTCCTTGAAAAAGAGCAGTTTGT